GTTTATTAGTAGTTGTTCTAAATACTAAACTATATTACATTAAAATTGTGCACTCAAATAAAACTGGAGATTATGATTTAACTTCACACAATGTCACAATTAGATAGGTGCAATTTAAAACTAAAATCATAATATTATCAATGTGATATTTATTTGGTAGGTGATCAATTATAGGTTCATCTTATTTGTTCATAAATACGAGTAGTTATTGTTTTTTTTTTTAGGTATTATGTAGCTAGTAAGTACATACTACATACGGCTATAATACATAAACTAATAAAATCAATAACTAATTGGTTGAACAATGAGTTCATCTTAATTCATATTAATAAATTTTTTATTTATAAAAATAAAACATTTTATCATAATTTTAATATAAACTACATTGTATGTAGTGYAGTGCTCAAATTAGGGGCCGGACTCAGCTCCTATACAAGCTATAAACTCTAAAAAGTGTAAAATATTGACACATAGGGAAATGTATTTAAACCCCTCACGGTATGACAATTATATTATACGATTTACCTTCATGATAGACGATTTTTTACGACAGTTCATTTAGAGCACGGTTAACTAGCAGCGCCTACTCAATGATAAATAGCCGAACTATATCACAGTAACAATTTCTGACAACGGTTGTACCATAAAAAACCGCTACCGACGCTTAACCTATTCTTTATAACCGTGGTTATGTCTAGTATTATCTATCATCAGTAAAATCAATGTTTAAAAATTCCAACATATAAAATAACAGTATCACGGCGTCGTACATAGGCAACTAAATGTTCCACACCTGTCTTCTGGGTTATTTTTGCGGTAGGCATGTTATGTTAGTGGGAGAGATATAAATATCGCTACAAACACATTTAACAGTACTTATTATCAGGAAAAATTATTGTTTAAAGCTATTTTTAAAAACAGTTTTTGACTAGTTACAGCAATAATTTAGTATAGGTAATTACTCTTATGTTAACAGATATTATTCTGAGTTTTGAAAAAGTCAAAACACAAATGTCTACATGTAATGGTGTAAGATATATAAAAATAATTTATATATTACCCAGGATCAAAAATTATGTAATTTAATATTTATGCAGCACTATTAAAAATTGCATTAACAATTATCAATTAAAATGTAATCCTTAGGTATACCTATAGTTAAATTCGTACATACGTACGCCTAACTTTATATTGTATATTTTAATTATAATTACCTGGGTAAACACATTATTAATTATT